CAACAACAATTTATCTTACCACATAACCAACAAACAATTCATCTAACAATTCAACCATACAAAGCAAACACATACATAAGCACATTCCAGATCGATAGATATGACGTCAAAACACAAAATACATCATATCACTTCTTTTTTGGATGGCCTCGTCCTCAAGGGGGTAAGTCCTTTGTATATTTTTCTTTTTCTTTGATAAGCCGACTAATCTCTAATACCCAAACACTAGCCGACATTTCAAATAGAGGAGTACGACCTGTGTTGATTGCTTATTCGTACAAAGATTGTATTGCTCGAACATAGAAAGTGTATCTTGCAGAATTGTTTGTACATCTTCAATAGCATTACAACATGTGTATGAAAGCTAGCATACAACAATTGAACATAATTCCCTTAATTTTTTATTTTTTTAAAAAAAATCATAAGAAAAGAATTTATCTTGGAGTCTACAAAGAAAGATCTTTCTATACTTTGATGAAGAATTTTGGATTGGCTTTGCTGAATGTCATGGCGAGCTCAACTCAAAAAAACACATTGATTAAGTATATGGAATATATTTTTAGAAGTAAAAAAGAATATAAATTTTAACATCACGAACCTGGAGAATAATATTTTCAACAAGATCATTGTAGGTAGGATTTCATGTATTTTAGTTTTTCTTTTTTGTTTGTGTTGTTCACGCCTCAGTAGGGGTGGAAGTGACAATGGTATCTCTTTAGGCTCTTGTTGTTGTGGCGCATGAAAAAAAAATCATACTTAACAAATATCTTTAGTAGTGCATAAAAAGACAACCTTACTTAACAGTCAATGAACTTGAGTGATCATCTCTTCAACCAAATCAAATGTTGCTGGAAGTACTTTAGAAGTATGATCTTCCCTTTTTGTTGACGTTGTCTATGTCTCCATGAAAATGGAAATGGAAGTGGACATGGCAACTTTTTAGGCTACAATAGTGGTACATCCTACGTTCATACAGATATAGAAAACAAACATTAATATTATTTATATAGTGGACCATACCAAAAATAAATTGGACAATAAAAGTACTTGTAGTAGACTGTTGGTTCTTGTTATAGATTGTGATGTTGCGTAGGAATGTTGACTTTCATTGAAATGACATGTTCTTTTAGACTCTCACTGTTAGCTTTCAATCGCAACGACTTGTCAAAATTGAATGTGTTAATCTTTTATAAAAAATAAAAAACAACCAAGTGATTGAAACTATAACTTATATTTCATTTCGGAGGAATTGATGTTGCACGTGGCTTTCCTCTACCTCAATGTACAGGAGTTGGGCCTTGTAAATATATTCACATACATTAGATAGTTTAACTATGTAATTGTACCGATGTTAGACTAAGAAATAAATAAACATAATATGTACTTACCTGGGGAACTCCTTCGAGCCGTTATTTATTAGGAGAATGAAGTAGGTTATGCCCAATGCAACCACAATTCCCATATGTAAGGAATATTGTAATCCTCTTCATCCTACTTGTACCATTCTTGGTTATAACTTTTTTTTGGTGTCCTTGCGCTCTCGCTTTCATAGCTTCTTTGGTCTCCCCACACTTTTTTTAACTAGCAGTGACTTTGGTGGAACATAGTCTGTTGGCACCCAAAATTTTTCAGAACTCATTGCTTTGATCGAAAATATATACACCTTGTAATAAGTATCAATCGAATGAACCTACTCCACTAGCTTACAACGTCCTTTCCTTAATTCCAAATGGCTGAGATAGTATGATGACAAGGAATCTCACATAATTGCCACATTTGACATATGCAATTATGCACAAAAAAATCAACATAGTGTTGTGTTCTATCAAAATAATTGATTTGATAGTGTGTCATATGATTTTATGGGAATGTAATTACCAACCTTAGACTGATTCCTTCGCAAACACCTTCATTGTTTTTGGGCATATCACCATGCCATTCCACCTCATCCTAAATTGATCTCTATTGGTTTTTGAATTCGTTGCAACAAGTATTCGTAAATGCCCTCCAACATACTGAAAATGTGCTTATCACGTGCATCATTGATACATATATCTTAACTATCACAAAGATTGTTATTAGGTGGTCACACTTTGGAGTATATGTAAAGTGTGACTTGCTCCACTTATTGGCTGGTTTACTATCCAACCATTCCCACATTTTCTCATCAAGTTGTTTAATATCCATCATAGTATATTTGAATTCACTAGCCGTATCTGCTCTCGTTACTTTCCACAAAGCATTTTTCAATGTTGAATCCTTAAAAATTGTTGTTATAAAATTATTTTGCAAATGTCTCACACAATTCCTGTAAGCATCCCCGAAAACCTCTCAAGACATGAACTAAATCTTTCTGCTTGTTAGAAATAAAGCATACCTCAATACAGATTCTTATATCCAAATATCTTTTTAGAAGAGATAAAAACTAAGACGAAGTCTTTCTATTCTCAATAGAAAGCTATCAGAAAAATGCAGTTGTTGGGATCGACTCCAATAGCTATAAAAATGATGCCCCATATATGATGTTCTCACGTGACATACATCAACCCCAACAAATGGCCTACATTCTAACCAGAAACCTTTTTTTAAAGAAACAAAAAGAAATGTACAATATATCAAAAATTGATTTCTCCTCATCTCTCACAACCCCCAAAACAACCGTGGACCCAAAATTGGATTGCCTAGGTGTGTTTCTCTAATCCCATAACCGACTGCAGTGATGAATAGGATTTTCCCTGCAGCTCATTTAAAGACCTTCTCATAGCTTTGTACGTCATATCCTTCGAAATATTAACTTTTAACTTGTTTACAATATCAACCCAAAATGCCTTCATGTTTCTTTTTGGGATTAGACTTGAATAACTTACCATACTTCTTGCCCAACTTTTTTCATATTGAACTTTTTTCTCACATGTATGCTCATTAGAAAACATGTTGCCTTGAAATACCCTCTCATCACTCATAGTCCATACATGAATTCTCTTTGCATATGTCATTTCTACACATATCATATATCACAACTTATTCGATCTTTGAAAATCTAATTGGTCTCTTACTCACCACTGCATAAGAGTTCACTGTTTCTTTAAACTCAGACATACTACTGAAATACACTCCCAACTCAAAAATGGAGAAAACAAATCAACTTTGCAGAAATTGGTAAATGTATTTTTCTTATTGCTATCCTCATTTGAATCCGACAACTTCTCAAAATCATGATCAGAAGAACAATTTTTTTTTTTTTCCTCACAATCCATTGCACTTGGATTTAAGTCATAAAAAATCCCTCAACATGTTTTCCTTTTTTTTTTTCTCAGTGTTTTCCTCGCCTTCACTACTACCCTCGCGCATGTCCATATCCGAATGGAAGTGCTCACAATTATCTACATTTAAGTTGGGAACACTTTTCTCACCATCTATCATTTAACTAATCTTTCTACTCTCATCACAACTATATGCATGCACCTCAAACTCATCAATTGAGTCAACATACTCCGAAAGCATTAAGTTGTCATCACCAGACCTTTCACACCCACCCACTTATTCACTATCAGTCTCAGAAAGTTGTTCCAAATTTTTATTTACCTAACATTTTTCAAGAAAAAAAAATAAAGACTTAGGTTCTCTGATGCATGGTATCCCTTGTAACAATGGGAAATGTATACATCATCTCCAATACATTTAAAAGTACCATCTTTATATATAATAAAAATAATAAATTCTCGTCCTACCACTCGGGGCCTAGTTTGCAGTACATGTGACTCAGATGGAGGAAGTATCATTTTTATCATTTTCATCAATTCCACCCAAACGTATCTATTTCTAATCAAAAAAATAAATAGCACAATACTCTATTTTTTACAAAAGTACTTTTTTTTTTCTTTTGTACCTGCAACTGTAAAAATGTCAAAAATATTTTATACACTTACATTAATCAATAAAATAATTTTATTTTTTAATCTACTAAAAAAAATACCGGGGTTGAGGGACTATAATATGTACAAATTTTATTCGCTCACAAAAGTGAATAATTCCACACAATATATTATTTTTTATATCATCGATACTATTTTTCTATCTAAGTAAAAAAAAAAGCATCTATTCAAAAACGTAAAATAAATACATCCATAATTTATAAAGAATACTCTTTCCGTCTCAATTTTTTTTATCTATGTTACGATAAGTACGAGAATTTAAGTAAAATATAATCAAAAATATAATTTAAAAGTATATTAGTAAAAATAATTATTGTATCATAAAAATAATTATAAATTAATTTGAAAATAACTAAATAATTTAATTAAAATTTAAAATTATAAATTTATGAAATTTAAAACGTAATAAAAATGTGTAATTATATTTTAAAAAAATAAATTACGTAGAATAAATTAAAATAAAAAAATAAATATTTTACGATCAAAATTTCGAAAGTGCAAAATAAGATATTTCGAAATTTGAAGTTATTACAGCTAACCTAACGAACGCCTCCATCAGATTAGTAACGGGCCCATGCTTTCTCATAATTTATCCATTTCATTTCCCCCAAATCAAAACCTTAATTAGGAAATCAATTTTGCACCACTTAGCAGAACTGCATCAATAAGAAGATTCTCATCTCATCTTCATCCCCAAGTGAAGTTAAGTTCCAGATTGGATCCTTATTGCATTGCGTTGCATGTGAGCTGCTGGTCCACCAAAATCCAGATTTCAATGTGCAGCTGTTCCTCTTGTAGCTGGTGTTGCGGAGGTCGCTTATGCACACACTACACCGTCCAGTCCATTTCAGGAGAAAAACGACGCCGTTTCGTAAGTGCTGTACCGAACTTCCTTTCTTACTTTATCCCATTTCTACCTTTTCCAATAAATAAAGGTCGGCGGTTGGTTGATAATGGCGTCTAAGTGTTTCCTAGTCATCGCCACCTCATTTACAGTTCATCGTCTAACTGTTTCCTAGTCATTAACCTACTTCCTAGATTCGTATATATATATATATATAGAGAGAGAGAGAGAGAGAGGGGGGGGGGGGGGTAGCCCTCATAATTCGCAATTATTGTGTTGACGTCGATTGATTTTTCCTTGCGCCTAATTCATATAATTAGACGGTTATTGAAGAATCCTTATTATCAGTCCTACATCGATTTGGGATCTGCAGATGATTTGATTTGACTATTTCGATTTGAGTTTCGATTGTGGAGATCAATCTATCCCTAAATCCCTAACACCGGCAGCTGGCACATCCGTAAGTCGGTCATTCACAAGTTAAAGCGATACCTGAACAGAACGAGACTAGGAAGCTACGGATTGTCCCTTTCTCTTGCTGGATTATGGGAAGTTTCCTTCGGTGCTGAATTCAGGGAGAATTGTAGGAATCATGGAGGCCGATTCGACATTTACTTATTCTTCTGCGACCGAGGAATCCGCCATGGACAGAGGATTCGAGAAATTCGGGTATCTCTCGTACAGCTATTTCATTTTGAGTGTCACCAATTCAATTGAAGGCAAACATTAATGTAGTTTTGGTGTATTGCATTTGCAGCTGCTCGCATTATCGGAGGAGGTGCAGGATCAGAGCTCCTTGTTGTGATGAGATATTTGATTGCAGGCATTGCCACAATGAAGCAAAGGTGAAATTTATTGGCTAATTACTGAATATAATTAGCAGCAGCTTCATGAGCATGAGGCAGATTCTGAGTCTTTTTAATTGGACATGTAAATTTGCAGAATGCTTTAGACGTCTATCCAATCCATCGCCGACACGATATCCCACGCCATGAGATAGAAAGGGTTAGCATATCTTCCTCATCGATTTTTGTTTAGAGTGAACACATTTCTTCTGTAGATATGTTTTGAATGGGTTGGGTGGTAATTTCTAATGAACTGGGTGTGTTTTGAAGGTGTTTGCACAATTTGAGATATTTTGAATCGAAGATAGGCATTGAAATGGACAGGATGTTTTCAATGAAAAATAAACATTGAATTTGATGTTATGAATATATAATTGGTTTGAAAGCGAAAGCTACTCTTTTTAAGAAAAGATGTTTTGCCTACAAATAAATACACAAACAATTTGTGTGCGTTTGAGTTTCCAACGTCACACCGGCAGTATAAATTAATTGTATATTTGTAATTTAGTATTAGTGTGTAGTTATAAAATTTTTTATTACTTTTACAGTAATAAGAAAGAAATATTTGATAAAGAAACTATATTAGATAGAGACGGTGGAAGTATAACTTTAATGCAGCTCCGAATGGCGGAACAGTGGCTTAATACACAATTTGTTTGATTCATTCTCGACTAAGATCTATGCTGATATAATAATACACTTTGCTCGGAAATATTACATAAGAATAGTGGCGTCACTTTTTTCTTACGAAAGCATTTGTCTGGGATTTCAGGTCGTCTGCTCATTGTGCAACACCGAGCAAGATGTGAGTATTTTCTATTTAAATCTGCTAAAGATTTTTGCTTCCAGACTTGTTTTGAGGTTCTCCAAATATTCATTGGTGCTACTTGGGTGTTATGTAGGTTCAACAAATTTGTATCTCATGTGGGGTTTGTCTGGGGAAGTACTTTTGCTCTAAATGCAAATTCTTTGACGACGATGTAAGCTTCCAATCTATAAGTCTCGGGTGCAGTTTAATATTCTATTTTCATTGTATTACCATAACCCTCCCGCTGTTATTGTTTCCAGGTCTCGAAAAATCAATATCACTGCGATAAATGTGGGATCTGCAGGTGAGAATCTCTCTATGATTCTATTACATACTAGCATGACTTGTTTGTGCCGTTCTTTTTGTTTGTATGTTTTTTTTTTTTTTTTTTTTTTTTCTCACGGTGTCTTTTATGGCAGAACTGGGGGCGAAGAAAATTTTTTCCACTGTGACCGGTGTGGTAAGCAGTTGTTTGAATTTTACAATAGATACGCCTGTCTCAGTGAAGGCATATATAATTTGACAATCTTGATTTCAGAATGCTGCTATTCAAATTTATTGAAGGATTCACACAAATGTGTGGAAAGAGCTATGCATCATAATTGTCCCGTTTGCTTCGAGGTAAAAATAAAAAAAGAAACATAAAGCGATTGCTAATGCACATAAAATTTCAACATGGGCTTTGTTTATCTATCTCAGTTTGGGTGTTTTTATTGCAGTATCTGTTCGATACCACAAGGAACATAACCGTGCTGCCCTGTGGCCACACCATCCATCTCGACTGTGTTAAGGAGATGGAATGCCATTCCCAGTAAGATAATCTTGATATGATCCAATTCAAAGTTATGTTTACTTATTACTATCTGCGTACAGTATCTAAATGGTTTGAGGTGGGTGTAGGTACTCCTGTCCCATTTGCTCAAAATCATACTGCGATATGAGCCACGTCTGGGCGAGGCTCGATCAGGAGGTATTGTGTAGCATAGTAAATACTAGTAGGAGTACATCCTTTTTTCAGATGACAATCTGTATCTTATTTAATTTTGGTTTTCGTTCGAATCCTAGGTGGCTTTGACACCAATGCCTCCTATGTATGAAAACAAAATGGTAAGAAGAGGATTTGAGAGAGAGAGAGAGACAGACAGAGCTTCATGTATTTATTTATAATAATGATCTATATGATTCTGATGAATATTTAGGTTTGGATTCTGTGTAATGACTGCGAGGAGACGTCGGAGGTGAGGTTCCATGTGGCGGGACTCAAGTGTGTCAAGTGCAAGTCGTACAATACTAAGCAGACTAGGGGAGGCCACACGACGTGCCCGTTTAGATAACAATAACAAAATCAAAATGGTTGTGGGAGACAGATTCTATCAGGGATGGTTGGTTAGTTGGATAACAAAATTGTTGAGGGAGAGAGGTTCTACGTTAAAGCTATACATATATATCCGTATAACTGGAAGTTTAGTTTTGTTGCATTGAGATGCTGCTAGTTGAAGAGAAGACAAGACAAGGCAATACAAGAATACATCGAATCGAATTCATGTCAGGTTTTACCATGATATGACCTGACCTCATTGCATCCATACATATTTATCAAGAAAAAGGCGAAAGAGAAGTCGTCAGCCAAGGATGAAGTAGAAGAAAAAAAACAGTTATAATATTTCACACTTAGACAGTTAACATTTTGGTTAAAAAATTTGTCCATTAACCTCATTTCTCTAAACTATTACTAGTACAATTCTTTTATTATTGACCCAGTATTTCTTATTTACTTTTCTAAATATACTTTATAATATAATTCGAAAAACAATATTAGGAGCAAAATTATTAAAAGGTTCCAAATTTGTTGTATTTGAAAATTCGAATACTCAATTTTTCTGATTGCTTGAGAAAATCAATCAAAAAATGGGTAAAAGGTTCCATAAGATACTTCTGAGAACTTTTAAAATAGAATATTTTGTGTTTATAGAATTGGTAGAAATGGAATTGAATGAAAACCACTGGGTGAAATGGACTCAAACTTGATTTAAAAAGTAAAAGTTTTATACATAAATTTTAAACTAGAGAAAGGTAACTAGTTGTTACAGTAAAAACCGAAAAAGTAATCATAAAGGTAATAAAAAAGATGAATGTAAGAGATGCTCTTATATTCTTATAAATCCGCTAAAGAAAAAACTCATGACTGTCATTTCCTGATGTGGTGAGTTCCAGGGGGTTCTGAAAGTTAAATTTTTTGCCATCCTTATATGTGTATTATATACATCTCTAAACAAGAACAGGGTTAAGTGGAGAAGATTCTAGAAAACAAATATTATATAGACAAATAATATAGCAAAAGTCAAACTACAAGCATTTAAAGGCTATTCTCCATTGAATTTGCAATGTGGCCTATTTCTATTTGAGGAAACAAATATGGTTATGTCAGCTAGTTTCCCTAAGACAAGCAACTATATCTTTGTGTGTGTGTGTGTGCGCTTATCTGATGAGATAAAAATAATCTAATGGCAATAATGGACCATCAAGGCAGTGCTTAATTGGCAAATTCAATTTCCTTGTGTTTATAATTATGTGTAAACCCCGCATTTTCATCCACATTATATCTACACTATGGCCTCCCCACCCACTCCTATTTTGATCACAACAGCAATTTAAATACCAAACATTAAAAAAGATAATAAAATTTCCATTTTCCCACCATCTTCATGAGCCTATATATACTAGCAAATATGATTGCTTTCCACAGACCTACCTAAGCACAATCATGTCTAAGAGATGTGATTTGTTGGTAATATATTTGCTACTGGTTATGATAGGTGGAGAAATCTCTGCTGCACTTTCTAACACCAGCAGGAAATATAAGGTTCATATTACTACTATCAAGGAGGAGGCAAGGAGGGAGATGGAAGCTGACCTGGTGGAGGATGTGGATGTGAAAAACCACCACAGTATCCCCAGAGAATCATGGGACAGCAGCCAAAACCATAATGGACTGGGGACGGAGGCTCAGGGCAAGGATGGAGACTCTGCCAGTAATCAAGGTTGATCAATTTCCAGCTTCTTTATGTCTGTAAAATGTTGTCGTAAGTTTGGATGAATTAATGATGTAAAGGGTTCCCTGTTGTTTTGATCAACATATACAGTTAATACCAGATTTTTTTATAACATAACTACTTAAGAAAAGGGCCAAAAAAAGGGAACAAACAAAAGAGATATATGTCGTGAGAAGATAATCGAAAGTTATAATAACATGAACAAAACCTTAAGGGAATCACTTATGAGAAGGCAGGAAATGTAACGACAATTGGGATGAGAAAGAGCGGTAGCAAACTTGCCTAACAAGCACATATATTAAATGTATTGATGGGATAATCATAAAGCTAAACAAAAAAGATTGATTGGAGCAAAAGAAGTTAGGTTAAATTGAATCGTTACCATTTGTGATGGCGAAGACGATGAATTTGTGATGTTAAGGTAAGGAGGATTAGTCCAGCAATATTTCAACTATCCAATAACTTGACTGGAAAATAAATAAACAACATCTTGACAGATCATTTATTTATTTTAAGGCATATGGATCAATTTCCCCTTGACTGAAGTTCTTGCAGCAGGTTTATTGCTGCCATGGAAATAATTTGAGTCAATGCCCCCAACCTATTAAGAAACAGATCTAGTATAACAAGATTAGTCTGAATTCATAATGTTGATTCTTAGGTAGGAATGCAGTTCGTTAAGAATGCTCCATACATCATGGTTCAAATGTCTGATAAGTTGGGAACTCATTTCATCCCAGCATTATCTATATTCTTGAAGCTGCTCAGACAGCAGCCTTTAGTTCACTCACAGCCCTTACATGGAACCTCCAAACAGCGACAGATTGGCTTTCCAGAGGCTTCCCAACCCTTATAGCCACTTTCCAAAACCATTATATTCTTCACTCCAACATCTTTTATTTCAGCAAGATAATCAGCAAATCTTCGAGCGCAAGTGGGTCCGCGGACCTGTAACGAGTGTTGTACATGTATTTGCTTGGGTTTTTGATGTGCAGTGTTTTACATTTTATCAGGCTTAAACAAAGACATTATACAATGACTAAACAAGACAAAGGCTAATTTTTTAAGCGTACGTGTTTATATATACAGAGGTTTCACATTGAGTTGAAGCTTAAGTAACAATAAGTCAGAGTAACTTGTAATCTTTACGTTTGTGTGCGCATGTGTGCGCAACAAAGAGAGCTTCTTTCACATCTGTATGTTGATGTGAAACAGTAATAAAGAGCATTAACAGAGTTAAAACTTAACAATAACAAGCAGGAATTGTGATAAAGACAATAATACTACGGTAATATCACAGTTGTCAATAGCCCTATAGCATGCTGATAGCAGTGGAGCAGAGCGGCACTCCGCCGCTACAGTCACTATGCAATTCCGCATTTACGCAATAGCAACGTAGAGGACTGTAGCGGAGTGAAGTAGCGTTTAGTTTGAAACTTGAATAATATAATATAATAATAAGGAAGAAAATTTATGCAACAGCAGCAGTGAGGATGTAAAAAATGGCGAAGAATTCTATCAAATTTTGATTATCTTTGATATCTAATTGTTTTTTTCTAAAACAAAAAAAATTATATACAACTATGAAGAACTATGATTATATATATATATATATATAATTTAACATTTATTAGTTTGAATAATATTTATGAGATTAATTTATAAAGTTTTTTTTATGCATTTTTGTTGTTGTTTTTATATATAATAATCATATATATGTTCTTAAATACTTAAATAGTTGTTATACTGCTATCCGCTATAGCATTTTAGAGCTGACAACTAGATTGACAACTATGGGTAATGTGGATTGTTTGATGATGATATAGGATGTGCGCATTTCAAGAGGATTATGGGATGAGGAAATTATAGCAAATATTTCATAGAGAACACATTAGGGTTGCTGCTATTGTTCCACCAGTCAAAGGTACCAAACTGTGGGTAACAACAGAGAGTAGCTGGAAGTTTACATTGAAAGCATGCAGAAACTACATACTCGACCAACTGCAATTCAAAACCAGCTTTCACCATAGGAATAACATCTTATTCTAGAAATTCAACAAAGATGAAACTGTTCGTATGACGCCTTGATTTACTGTCTACACAAACTTTCTGAAAGATATAACATCACACATCATCCAGATCCAATTCAACTTCCATGACAACAATAGGCCAAAATCCATGATACACGAACGAATAGGATGCAGGATTAAAACTAAGGAAACCTCAACGCTCAAACAAACAGTAATCTAAGCAATCAATGTGTAAATGCTACGAGAAATTGACGAAAGCGGGTTAGAAACGACAAACCTGGCTGAGGGCGCAGTGGAAAACGACAGTATCCTTGTCTTTTGTAGCTTCAACGAGATTAGCCAATTTATCCTGAAATGTATCGTTGGCAAAGTGAAGCGATCCCGCTATATGTCCGTCGTAGGTCCTTTCATCATCCCTGCAAACCGCCATTAGCAGTATCGATCGAATCAGTGCAATATATTCCATAAAAAAAAATTTTCTTAAAAAAAAAAAAAAAACAGAAAAACTGCAAGCACGTAACCAGACGCCCTAACTATTAGCAGCTAACCTGACATCCACGACGGCGACATTCGGACGCTTCTTCAGAGAGTCAAGCTGGGAGCCGGTGACGAACGCAACGCTCCGAGACATCTTCTCAGATCAGAGGAAAATGCGAGTTGACTCTGCTCTTTCATGGCTGCCGAGTGGGCCCAAAAATAGGCTTGTTGGTCGTTAGAAAGTTAAGGCCCATTGAGTACTCAAAAGGACAACGTATTCCAAAACCGACGTCGTGTAAGTAATAATAAAGGAAAAATAAAAATCCGACCTGCCGGATTCGAACCAGCGACCTAAGGATTCCAGCAATTCCAAACTACAGTCCTCCGCTCTACCAACTGAGCTAAGGTCGGATTTGTTTTTAGTTCGATTATAGTTTAATAATAATATTAATAAATCTATTTTATAAATAAATATAAAGAAAAGAATTTTAAATAATATGTATATTTTTTTTATATAGAAAACATTATGATCTGCGCCGAAGGGGATCGTCTGCTCCAAAATTTTCCCTATTAATCTATTTTATACAATAAAAGAATGACACGTGGCAAGTACTAATTTATTTATTTTTAAATTTGGAAATAAGTTTATATATTGCAAAAAGCTATTTGGACAAAAATCAAAAGATGCAACTCATTTTTTCTGTTCTCTTCAAAAAATTATCGTTGTCGCCCAATTCTTTTATTATCCTCGCCTGTCAATCGTCGCCCGCAACACTTTTGGGGCTTTCAAAATTTGTAACTCGCGATGTACTTGGGACTAGAATTCATTTTCCTTATTCTCTCTCAAAATCGTCACTTGAGTCATCACGTTTGTTTTTGTTGGAATCCACCTCATCCTAGTCGTTATCGCCGGCTAGTCTTCGTCCAAATCCAAGTACTATCATGTTCTTCAATTTTTTTTTATTATTATTATTTTGTTGAATCCAATCTCCTTGAAAATAATCCATGTAAGTTTGAAGATTAGAGTTTTCAATTTGGCCTAGTTAAGTTTGGAGAATTTTCAATTTCAGTTAACTTTTGTTACTTTAGATTTTAGGTTTTTGGATATAGTGTTGTTAATTTGAGGGATAGTTTTGAATTAATACCTGTATCAACCGGATTATTCGAACAATACGTCGTACATAAAAGTATGATAATGAATTAGCTTAAGCGAAATTCGAATAAAATCAATACCGATTAAAATTGAAATTAATACTAAATATAAGGCTAGATTATGTTTCGAAAATTATGATCAAAACAAAATACCCAATTGATAATTAAAATCAAGCAAACAAACCTCGAATTCAATTACTTCCGTCTGCGTGTTCTTTTTAGAATTTGGGGAGAATCAAACAAATCCATCCTTATGCCCCCACGACGACGGCAATCGACGGTAGACTGTTGAACAATTTCCAGAGACGAACATCACAGACGAACAGATCTGAGTCACCTCATTCTTTGGAGGACAACGACGGTTGTGCAGCAGCTCCTTCCATCTCCGAACAGCCTCGACTCTAGCGCAACGGCAATTTCCAAGACGGCAGCTCCGTCGGTGACCCGACTGGAAATGACTCTCTTCTGTGGCGAACTAAGTGCAAGGCTATAGATGGCTTTTTCCTCCAAGCTTGAACAACAGCAAAGGCATTTCCAAAGATAGCTCCAATGGACATCGAACTGCAATCTTTTTCCGATTCTTTCTCGAACTTTTCACTTTTTCACCGGAGAAAGGGATGACAGATTTTGGCTTAGTCTATGGTGTAAAATGGGCCGAGATAACCACGTCCGCAAGTTGGAAATCAGCTCCTCAGTCTAAGCCTCGATACGCACTGGAATCGGCACTCAAATAGGGCTTCTAAATCTCACTAGAACTCACCGAAAACCATTGGAACATAGCTCTGTTCTTTCCTCTCTATCTCGCCGGCTGATCTTCTTCTCTCCAAATCTCCTTTACGATTTCCACAAAAACTAACTCCTCACTCTCGGATTTCCTCTCTAAGACTCACTCATTCGAAACCCTTATCTCTCTATATTTAATAACTACCTCAAAACTAATCTAACTAACTAATGGGCTCAGGGGTTACAGGTTTGGGCTGGGGGTTTAGATTTAGGTTAAAGAGTTTGGGCCGAATCCGGTGGACCGGGGTAAGGAGTGGATCAATATTTTTTGTTTATCGAGGGACCCGTATAGACCTCGACAACCAAAATTCCTAACATACTCCACCTATTTTGATTGTGATTTAATCAAATCTCAAATACATATTTACTATATATACTTACCTTGCACCAATAATTTCATCATCGTCTTTTGTCCCTCATTGCATCCATGAACAAACGTTATGCAAAAAAATATATTACATATAGAATACATAAATCCTAACATGCACTTAGATTGATCACACAACCTAGCCCGTACTACACATAAGCTACTACAAAAACAAGCATACAATCAAGTTTAAACAGATTCAATACAATGAACTTACATATTCTAAGCGAGCAAGCAGATTACTACACAATCCAACAACACACATGTAAATTCACAAATGGAACGCAATCACATGCCAAATACAAAAAACGTAGAATCACAGAACATGAGCTCCACCTTATTTCATATCAACTATGAAATGTATAGGCACACAAAACAACATAGGCACATAACTCTATACCTTGAACACATAATTCTCCACCTTAAGACACTCTACTTTACAACTCAGGCATATTACCATACAACTTAGATACACTATTCAACAACTTAGACACACTACTTTATGACTCAGACAAACTACTTTACAAACTTAAACACACTACTCTACAACTTAGACTACTTTACAACTTAAGTATAAGACCCTACAATTCACACATACAACAACCTTACAACCTAAGTACAGAGTCTTACAGCCTAAGTATAAAGTCCTAAAGCCTAAGCGCAAAACCTTACAACCTAAGCATAAAGTCCTACAACCTAAGCACAAAGTCTTACAAACTTAGACACACTATTCTATAGTTTAGACACACGAATTTACAGGTTAAGTACACGGCTATACAATCCAAACATACACTCTTATAACCTAAGTACGGAGTCCTACAATCTAAACATAAAGTCCTACAGCATAAGCGTAAAGTTCTACAACCTAAGCATAAAGTCCTACAACCTAAGTATTAAGTTCTATAGCCTACGCATAAAATCCTATAGTCTAAACAAAAAGTTACAGCCTAAGCACAAATATTACAAACACGAAGAACACAAGCAATCAATTAAGGATGAGACACATGCTTTAATCAAATAAAAGCAACTAGTTCAAAAAAATATGCAATCCAAGTAATATGATCGCCAAATATGAATGCTAGTTTCTATCACATATAGAACACTTGAGGATCACATCAAAAAAATCCACATAGTAGGATCACATAAGGAAATCAATCCACATAATGTTAAGTAAATACTCAAATTTCATCGCAAAGATCTCAAAGAATACACGCAACTTATCACACAACAAACAACATCATGCATAAAAAAAAAAATTATAAATTTTACAATTAGTTCTAATTTAGCATCTCATGCTTTTTTTCAACCAATTTTCCTATAGAAAAATACAATTTGATGTTTACACTTTGGCATTTTATTATTTTCATAACAAACCTATGGAGAAAAAAACTAAATCAATCACATTACATTACATACAAACCAATAATTTAATATATGCATTCTCAATTATTTCATCAAGGAATCACATAATGCAACAAAATCAATTTTAATTCTTGATTATCCTTTAATTTATAATTTTTTTTAGGCATTTTCTAAATAATATTTAACATACATTTTCTATCTCACATAAGTATCAATATATATCTAATAATTGGCTATAGCAACTCATATTCTCAAGACTACATATACAGCCCAAGAAACTACACAATTAAAAATAACCAAGGAATCAAAAAACAATTTCCAAAAAATTTCACCAATAAGAGAAAAGAAATACAAGAAATTACGACAAAATTCCATGATTATTCAACTAATCATCAAGAAATGCATAGTCAATCAAACACCAAGAAATTTCAGCATATTATTAACTACAATTTTACCAAGAACCATAATATACCAAAAATAAATAAATAGATGAGGGTTAAGCCTTTTACCACGGATCAAGTCCTACTAAACTCAAACCATTTTTTTTTTTTCATTTTCGAAATCGATTTTCGGGCTCTGGTATCACTTTTGTAAATTTATACGCTGATTGATGGGATTATTCAAAAAATACCTCATACACAAGAATATGATAACGAGAATTAGCAGAAGAAAAATTCAAAGAAAACAAATATCAATTAAAAGTAAAATTAACACTAAATATAAGGCTAAATTATGTTTATTAAATTAGGATCAAAACACAAAAAAAAAAACAAAAAAAACAAAACACCCAATTGATAATTGAAATAAAGCAAACATGCCTCGAATTAAATTACTTCCCTCTGCGCGTTCTTTCTAAAATTGGGGGAGAATAAAATGAATCCATCTGTATGCACCAACGACGACGTAAATCGACGGCAGATGGCTGAGCAATTTCCAGAGATGAACAGATCTGAGTCACCTCCTTCTCCGTCCGACGACAACGGCTATGCAGCAGCTCCTTCCATCTCTGAACAACCTCGACTCCAGTGTGGCAGCAATGTCCAAAATGGTAGCTTCGCCGGCGACCCTGACCGGCAATGGATCTCTTCTCCAGTGAACTAACTGCAAGGCTGTAGACAACTTCTTCCTCCAAGCTTGAACAACAACAACGTACTCCCGAAGACAGCTTTGATGAACATCAAACTGCAATCTTTTTTCAATTTTTTCTCGAACTTTTCACCGTAGATAGGGACGACAGATTTTGGCTCAATCTATAGTGCGAAATGGTTTAAGGCAATCATGTCACAAGACTCTAATACTACTGTTCTGAATTTACATCCCGGGATTAATTGAACTTTATTCGAATAAATGTCTCATATATAAATATACGACAATGCATTAGCAGATGTGAAATTCGAATAAAATCAAAATAATATTAAATATCAAAATTGAAAAAGGAATTAAAACAATTAAAGCAAATGCATGATTCTGAAAATCAAAGCAACCACAAACAAGCATGACCTAAAATTAAATTAAAATGGGATGAAGGCATAGACAATCAATTAAAGAAACTCCATTT